TTTCAGGGAAAAGAAAGGTTTATTTTACTTTGTCATGAGTGATTTTTTTTTTAATTCTTTTTTCCCCCAGCTTTACTGAGGTATAATTGACAAAATGGTAAGATATTTAAAGTGTACATTATCATGATTTGATATACAATGTGGAAGGATTCCACCTGCCCCCGCCCCCCATCTAGTTAATTAGCACATCCACATGGGTGATTTTCTTGAGATCACAAAGCCCAGAGCACAGCCTCAAGATCATCTTGCAGTCTAACACCTGGTTCCTTTCTAAAAAGCTGAGGACCCCTGGAATACCAAGAACAATGACAGCTCCTAGACGCCATGAGGCCGCCGTTAATAAAAACTTCCAAGGGAAATGGAAACCTAAAAATCTTGCAAAATAATTTTATTGTAACCACAGGTTGATTACAAAATAGAAATCAGAGAAAACATATTTTCTTAAATCAAAGTAACTAAATTTAGGTGAATTGATATTTATTCAGAATAACTTTAATGCTGTTTGTTATTCTAAAACTTCCAAAAATTCCATCTGATATAGGGGTCGTTGAAACTGTCACAAACAACAGTGTAGCTAATGAAGGGTTGCTAGGCTTTATTCAAAGCATGACTCCAGTCTTAAACAGAGGTTCTATTAGAAGTCTAAGAGGGGGTGCCTGGGTGGCTCAGTTGGTTGAGCGACTGCCTTCGGCTCAGGTCATGATCCTGGAGTCCTGGGATGGAGTCCCGCATCGGGCTCCCTGCTCAGCGGGGAGTCTGCTTCTCCCTCTGACCCTCTTCCCTCTCATGCTCTCTCTCTATATATCATTCTCTCTCTCAAATAAATAAATAAAATCTTTAAAAAAAAAAGAAGTCTAAGAGGAAAAAATGGGCCATCAGAAATAGGGATAAGACGTGGACATATAGGCATTTTACACATAGGACTTCACATCCCCAACTAGAACAAGCTTGCTCTGGAATTCTGCCATCTATTTTCACGTTTGTCTAAACCAACCAACCAACAAACCTCAGCCGCAATAGTGTGAACAATGGTCATCTTGTTCCATCAACAACATTTCATTCATTCAGCACATATTGGAGTCCCTACCATGTGCTGGCACTGAAAGCAAGAAGGAGCAAGAGACATTCCCTTCCTTTGCCAAACTCATTGCCAAAAGAAAACACAGACAAACAACCAGATATTTCGAATAACCTAGGGAAGAGCAATGTTAAAGATGGGCACGGGCTCCCATGGGAGCCCCAGGGAAGGCTGCCTCAGCCCAGCAGCTTCCAGGGGAGAGCTCTGATGTTGGAGTCAGAATTACCCAGGGAAGCAGAGGTGGAGGTAGTTTCTAGAAACAGAACCATCATAAGCCAAGGCAGAGAGGCATGAGGGAGAGGAGTAATGACTTCAGTGTGACTGCAGCACACATGTAAAGGGAGGGCTGATGGAGATGAGGCTGGACAGGTGGTCCTGAATATAGAATTCTGAGTTAATAAATTGTGGTTATGACTTTTCCCTGTTTAAAAAAAAAAAACAACAAAAACGTTGGTTCCTTAATTGCATGCAAAGTGTATTCTTTTGAGACAAAATTTATTTCATTTTTAGTTCTGTTTGGCTGCATATTTTTCAAAATAATTATACTCCTTGGGGAGCAGTAAATGACAGACATGGGTTTTATACAAATGTCAATTACGGTTTGATCATAAATCATGAAGCAATCACCTGCTTTTACCAGGGGACACGGAGTGTGGGGAAGGATGGCAAGTGCTGAGCACCTGAAGAGAAATCAACTCCTCTTCTGGGAGGTGAGTTTATTCTCCTTGGAGATCTAGGGGTCCTGGATCTGGAGTAGAGTCTGGACACAGTTTGGGAGGGAGGAAGTGCTACAGAGGACCTGGAGAAGCCCCTCACCATGGGTGAACTGAATCTCCATTTCCTATCTCTTTTCTCTGGCAAATTCTGCAAGACTTCTGTACTGTCTCACATCATGCTGTGATCTGTCAGGTGCTAGACAGGTCAGCAGTAGAGGAAGGCTCTGGAATCTCAGCAGCAGCACAGTCTGGAATCAAAGCAGGTCTGCCCTTTTTCCTGGGCATAGCAAATACATAAACACTACACTGACCAAGAGACAGCACTATGAGAGGGCAGCTAACTGAAACAAATCGATTCTATCTGAAAACACACTGAGGCTTTCCACATCCACTCTCCTGTACCGACTTAGGGCATCAGAGCATCTTTTCTCCAACTCTCCTGACAAGCTCTGCACTCGGAAGGTTCCTTTGCATCACTTAAGCAAATCATTGCTTATTAGCAAGTTGAGGTAACCTCCAGGTTCTTTAGATGACCTTCATTCTTCTTTGTCCTGGATATTTTAAAATAACAGGTAAAAATATCTATTCTCAGAGCTGTAGGAGATAAAAATGTTTGCCCTGATGGGAATGAACTCTTGATTTAGTTAAGCTTCATTTTAAAGAGTCTATCTTAAATGTCTATGCTACCCAGAGCAATCTATACCTTCAATGCCATCCTGATCAAAATTCCAATGACATTTTTCAAAGTGCTGGAACAAA